GGGGAGAGGGGGAGGGGAAATATATCCGTAGAGTTATGGCTGGTATGAAACCCATAGCAAATGATGCAGGAATACGTGACTGGCAAGCGGAGCGTTGCGCTACGTCGGGTCCGGCGTCCCGATGCCTGGCCTGGCCTGGCCTGGCCAGGCCAGGCTCGATGTAGCTGCAATCAGCAACGTGCACCCGTCCAGGGCACCGAAATAAATTCAATAGAAATACGTTGCGCGTCGGCATACGGCAGCTAGGTCGCTAGGAGAGAACGTGCGCGTATGAAAAGTTGGACGGGAGCTTGATCTTCGACCGTGGACACAATCATATTCCCGGGTTAACCCTTTCAGCGCGAAATTAATTAACAGTAGGATGTTCCAGCAGAAATTTGCTATATTATTTGGATATTTGCGTCATCAATTGCATCATATAAATGAAATGTAAAACTTTTTGAAATGTAAAATTGCAAATAATTTTTCATAATCGATATTAATCGTAATTGTCAAACGTAATATGACGATACCGCTTAGAGGTGGATGGATACATTGCGCGTGCACAAAGATTTTATATATAACGATTTGATTTAGATGAAAAATCTTTGTCACGATGTCCATAAAACTGAGGGCACATCAAAGCAAAATCGACATTGGCCGCGAATGAATGCTGATGAATATTGATATATTCAATCAAGAGAATTGACCTGCGTGATCTGCGGAAATGTCGTTTGAGATCGAAAGAGAGTAAATATACTGGCTGCACATACCATCCACATGAAGCCTTATGGCAAACATATTGGATCATCGTGGATACGATACATCAGAATTCCGCTCCCGTCTCGCCGCTGTCGCCACGTGACGTTCTCCATTAAATTTCGCGTAATAGGACCGACAAGACGTCGCCTAAGCGGAGGAGCCCTTGCAATTTGAAAGGTCGATACTCGATTTCCGCGACACGACTTTCGTTTCAGAGTCGCGCGTTTCTCGAAAAGAAAGTTAGATTTTCGTTGCCGAAATTCTCAGAGAGAGACCTCTGAATGTGCGAACATTTGAGCTCATACTTGAGTAATGTAAAGTACGTCGTTAAAAGAAGTAAATATCGCTTCTTTTTGTTTGAGTTTTTCTCGAGAAATTTCTATTTCTCTTCGGTAATGGATCCATTCACAAATCTTACAAACTTTTAATTATTAAGGAGATTCTTATATAATGGAATATATATAATTATAGTACATGTATATAAATGTTTGTATTGTATTGCAATAAAAAAATATTTTGTGGGTAAAAAAAAACTAACAAAAAAAAACAATTTGTCGATTACATGAAATTACATTAAATTCAGAACATCAATTATTCTTACTTATGTTTTCTGTAAAAAAAAAATAACATGATTACTTAGATTTCAGAACGAGATAAAAAAATTTAGTTAATGTAATTAACTAATGGATAAATCTCTTATATATTACGATCTAAGTTTAGACGGAATTAAAAGATAAAATATAAGATAAAATATAAACATTAATATTTTTCACCTGATCTGGTTAAGCACTCTGACAACGTATTTTCTTGTTGCAGTCAAGTATCTGCGGGAAGTGACGCCGTACTTCAGGAAGGCTTCGATCATCCAGGAAGTGGGCTGGGAACTTCAGCGCGGTTTCCTGAGCGCGACGCCGCCGCCGCCAAAGTCACCACCGCGGGCGGATACTCGTTATCTGCCATTACAACTCTGCAGACTCACCAGAGCGCATACCTCTTCCGATCCCGGTAAGTCTTAACACTGAAAAGTCGATGCGTGGTTTGGGCTCGTCTGCCATGTAAAGATTAACTCAACGGTCGTGCGGTTGGATCTGTAAGGCCGAAGGTATTTCCCAATTTGTTATAACGTTAACCGGAAGAGGATAATCGCTCACTGTTAAATACAACACGTATAGTTGATTTGGAGGGGATTTCCTATGTATCCTATGTATCCTATGTACCAAAAATTTGTAATATTTGTCACTGCGACAATATAATATTATATGTATTTCAACATCAGTTGTTCAAAGCAAATCTTCTTTTAACGAACACAAGAAAATAAATTAAGGCTCGTTAACTGAGTAAGAGTATAATTACTTTATCGACGTTCTCTTTTCTAAAGGAGGTATTGAAGTGATTAAGACGAGAGCCGCCGATTACTTCAAATTTAATCTAAAACTCGAGGACTCGTTGAGAGGAAAATAAACGTGAGGGAACGTGGGACGGAAAACGCGAGCGGATTGCGCGTTCTATCGTCTTGATTAACGAAGTAGTGCAATCTAGATCGCGGTTGAAGAGTTTAGGAGAATCGGGAAAGATCTCGTTTACCTATTTGCCAAGCGCAGCGACGGTGGTAAATGGCCTCGCGGCAGGATAAAAGTCCAGTCCTCCTTCTATCGGAGACAGTCGTCTGCTTCCGTCCGTTTCGTAGTGATAAACTAGGGAATGGATGAGTTAGCACGAAGGGAATATCTCTCCCCCTTGGGCTCGTAGAGAGTTAATGAAAGGCGAATGGCTCCTTAATTCTGTAAAGCTTCTCCGTTCTTCTCCTCCCCGTTTACTCTAAGCGCGCCGTCTCCGTTCAGGGCCGCTCGTGCAAATTTTCACCTCTCGGGGATTGTTAGCGATGTCCCACATGTAGCACGAACAATCGTTACGTTTTACTTGAGCGGCTTAGTTGTGTTGAGTGTCTCCATTATTTTAATCGTATTATCGCTCAGCTTTGCTATAATTATATTTTATTAGTTATTATAGCTTCTTTTTTTTTATCGTTTTTTACAAACGATAAAAACTTCACGGAAATAAATTATAAAATTCAACAAATTTAAAGTAGTCAAAATGAAAATTAAGCACATCTAAAAATAATAAACAAAAATTTCAACATGTGACATGTGTATAATTACGTGCGTAATATTCAGTTAAGTAAATATAAACAAGCATGCTTTTTATTAAATTTCTACGTATTTTAACAATAATATATAGCGAAAGTTTGATACGTTGCATCGTACGCGGAAAGTTAAAATTTTCCGTGTCGAAAGTTTAAATCCGAGCCTGAGACCCTCTCTTCTAGACCGAAAGAAAAACCGCGAGGGAGAATAGCTGCGCTGTTAAGAGGAGAAGGGCAGAAGGGAAGAGACAATCGTGGTTGGCGTCGAAAGGGGTGGTGACAGACGGGATGGACGAAGGGGCGGTGGTTGGCTGTGAGCTAAGAAACGCAATCAGAGACGTGCCGTATCTCTTGCCGGCATCTCGCTAAGCTATGCCGTAGAGTAACACTTACCTGATATTTCCGTATGCTGATGTTTCTCAAATCAATCTGGTGACGGTATCCGCACTGCGGTAATATAAATTTGAACGCCAATAATCATCATAACTTTGAGCATTCGTGAAAACCGTGGAATGGGAGGCATTTGTACGATTTAAGTCTTATCAATCTAATCAATTTAAATCTTAGAAAGATATATATGGCGTTACCGTCGGACGCCGCCGAGAACGGAGATATCTTGTTAGTTTTCGATCGCGCTTGTAACGATCTCGCGGACAGCGAATGATGTGCGCGGTGAACGTTCCGGTCAACAGTAAATTTTATAGCCGATGCAGTAAATTTTATGTCGTTGCCGCGACGATGATTGCATTCATATTGCCTCGATCGATGAAATCGTGAATGATAACAGGACGATAAATTGGACATGTGCCGCGCGCGCAAAGCGCCATAATCCTTTTACGTTAAAGTACGGATAAAACATTAATTATCTAAAAATAAGACTTCTTACGTTAAATCTTCTTTATTAAGAAAAGCATCATAGGAACACTAAAGGTTGTGTCATGAAAGAGGAGTTGGTTTAATATATTTTTAATAATTATAATTATTTCCTGTATATAATTACATTTTCTTCAATTTTTTATGCATCTGGGTGTGTACTTGAATATGTACACAAGATTTGAATAGCACATTCGCTTCGACTCAGACTTGACTTACTGCATCTGCGTTTGTATATTTGTTCGTATATTGTTATAATTTATCATATGGACGGTTATAATGTTTGAAATAACGACAGTGAGGCTGAGACATCAAACGCTATGATGCGATGCTATGTGCAAATGAGCATTTACGTGCAGGCACAGCCTGCGGCAAAAGGAGAACAAAAGCGTAGTACGTCAGAGAAAGGCGTACGAAAAAAAAAAAAAAAAAAAAATAAATAGAAAAAGATGGTTTTGCCGCGTTGAATGCGCGTGTTTACACGATGCTCGCGACCGCGAGCATCATTTTGCGGTTGAAAACGTTCAGTTACACTCGTTGCGCGTTGAAAACAAACAGCCAGGCCTGTATTCGTCGAAAGCTGGAGCTTTTCTAGATCATGAATTGCAAAAGCCGGTGTTCTAGTAGCGACTGTCAGCATAGCTTCGTAAATCGCTGAGATGAAAATGCACACGATGTTTTACGTTTGACTCGGTTAAATGGGCACAGTTTGGAAGAAATGGGAACAATCTGACTATGTTGCGCAATATGAATTTAAGCGATATTTATGCTGTGTGTGCGGTACGACTTTTTATTTTTAAAAGTATCTTATACAATAATCCTTGAATTATATTTAAAAAGATATTTAAAAAGATTTGAGTCAGATAAATGAATTTTTAAATGTATTTACAGAATTCTTTTTTCATGACGTATATATTGACTTATATATTTGGCTGTATCAATAAATACATGATACAATATATATATATATATATATATAAAATCTATGATGTGTTGAATCGAAAACATACAATTTGCTGAATCTGAGTCTGTTTCTCAATTACGTAGTTTGATGTACTCCCCGGTGTTAATTAATTAACAATCAGCGCTCTTTGATCATTTACCCGTACATAGAGTGTCCTCTAAGCATATCAGACGGAATTGACGTTACGATGCAAAGTCAGTAATCAAGGTTTCCTGCCGTTTTAGGCAACCTTTCGAGATCTTGCTGAGTTTCCCTCTTCAGGCATGAAGGATTCTAGCCAAGGAAGACGGTTGCTTTGCAAGCTCGTGCAAGGTAACCACAAGCTGTGTGAAAAGCACTTCCTGTGGGAACAACCTGTATGCTCTCCCGAGGATTTCTCGAAGGAATCGTCCCTAGAACAACCTCCAGAGATAAGCGAAAGCAATACCGTGAACGTTGCGAATATATTAATTCAGCCAAGATCTCGTAATTCTCCATAAGTGTGGTCACACTTTTAGAAGTGGATTTTGGATACAGGTATCCGCAGACATAAGAAATTAGGATTTCTAAATTTCGATACGATATAATAAAAGATGCGATCGACCGAAGTAAAATTTTGTTTTTTTGCCAATGTCTTAATAAATTACCTGGCCAAAAATTTTTACACTTGAAAAAATTTACAACTGAAAACTTCGAAGAATAGAATCAATTTAAATTATATACATTGAATCAATGTATCGTCATTTCTGGTTTTTTAAAACTTATTTTACAAATTTTCTGACCTGCAAGAATGCAGCCATGAAGAAAAACAATAGCTGAAACGGTAGTATGTACGCGCAAACTCTGGTAATTCGTTATTTCGAGGAAATCGCCGATCGTTCCTTAGCGACAAAAGAGAAAGGGAGAAAGACACGTGAAGGTTCTGGTATTCCTGATGATCCTCGCCCAGCCGCGCCTCATTAATCAGACGGACGGCATATAGGGTGCAATTATCCGACGGTAATTAACTTCGCAAACTGCAGCGCCCGCGAAGTCCGGGAAGGTGGTGGGCGCACACGTGTTAGGGGATGCTTCGTGTGGTGCTAGCGGAGGTGGTCGGATAGTCTGGATGGAAGGTTCTTCGTGGGTTCCAGCCCCCCCCTGATGGAGCTGTTCTGGAATTATACACGGGGTTAGTCCTGAAAACCGGCCGGCAGCCAGCTTTTGCCCCGGAAACTAATTTAACTCTCGCATCCTCCACTCTCCACTCTCTCTTCCCCCTTCCCCCTTCCCCCTTCCCCCTTTCCCCTTCACCCTTCTCCATCTCACTGCTCTTTCACCTTCCGCTTCTGATTTCGACTTGCGCGATCGTCCGCGTTTGAATGTGATACACATCGCGAGGTGATCAATTTCTGCGTTTTGCTGGGGTTGAACTGACATTTGAGGACTCTCTCTCATATGAGGATTCTTTTAACGGGAATTAGTTCTTGTTACATGTGCGTACATATGAATATTATTTATTAGAAAAATAATAAATTGCATTATGTAAAAATATGAAGTATATAAAAAGTATAAAGTATATAAAATATGTAAAGAATATAATTATTAATGCAGTGTTCACATATCTTAATTTTGATCCTGTCATTAACGTATTCTTTTCTTTGGTTAAATGTTTTGAAGAACGTGAGATATTGCATTTGCACTTACAGCATTCTATTGAAAGTTTGCCGTATTGGTTCGTTATATTCGATAATCGGATAAGCGCGAGGATAAAACAAATTTCACACAAGATCGAACGAGCTGTAAGTTTATCGAAGAACAAGGAAATTAAAAGATCATCCAGGGCAAACATTTCTCAACTTTTCTCTTCTCTTTTTAGTTTTTACAAGCGAAATTTATCGAATATTGATGAATATAAATTCTATAAATTTAGAAAGAAGAAATAGATTGCACATTGCGATAAAAATAGATTGATCGAATAAGCCATTGTTTGCGAAAAAATTTCACAATAATTTCGTAACAATCAACAATAGAATAACTAATAAGTAAATATTGAATGGAGAAAAA